TTATGGTTTAGGGGTCCTTGACTTACAAGATTCCCGAATTGTAATTTTAAATTTTAAATTCATGGATTTACTTTTGTAAAGGAGCTTTTATTTTATTAATAGAATTTCGTTCAACGATTTATTCATTCTTTTTATTTTTCTTGTAATCTATGTTCATTTATTGCCATATTATTTTTTATATCCCTGGGTCTTCAGGTGTGGGTCTGGACAACCTACACGTGGAAATTCGGGGGTAGGCATGGTAACGAGGGTAGGTGTGGGCGGGTGTACCTTCCCCCACCCCTGCAACCGTTTAAAAACCTCGCCTCGTCCCTGCCCAAAATTGCAAAACAAGGGGACTTTCCACCCCATCCCACAACCGTTTAACATTTTTACCCCCGCAGGTACCCGCCTCGCCCTATTTAAGAACATAATTTATTTATTGTTGAAATAGATTTACTATTTTGTTTTCCCCTCATCTTCAGTTCTTCACCATTGCAACTTTCCTTCTAATCAAATTCATTTGCTACTTTAATATTGTTATATAGGGTACTTAATATATATACTAGGAAATATATATGCTAATGAAATAAGGGTACTAAGTAATTTGCTTATCTAAACGAGGCGGGGCGGGGCGGCCTCCCCCCCACCCCCGCACCAAACCCGCGTGAGTTTTTAATACATCAAACCATCCTTACCTAAATAAGCTAAACGGTCCCCCAAAATTGCCAAAAATGGGGCGGGGAGGGGAGGGTAACCATGGGGGCGGGTTGTGATGACCCTGTGGGCGGGTGTGCCGTGGGAGAGTACGAGACACTGACAGGCTATCACACTGGCGAGTTACGAGTGCACAATCCCACATCGCCTAGGAAAGGGAAAGGTAAAGTGCTTATATGTAGGTGTGTCACTCCAATTGGTATAAGTTCTTTTGAGGTAAAGTCCAAGAGAAAAACCGTGTGGGCTTAGGCCCAATGCGGACAATATCATACCATGTGGTAGAGCGGGTCATTACAAATGGTATCAGAGCCTGACCCAGCCTTAAGTGTGCCGACAGGGACGTCAGGCCTCCAAGGGGGTGGATTGTGATGACCCTATGGGCGAGTGTGCCGTGGGCAGGTGCAAGACACTAACAGACTATCACATTGGCAAGTTACGAGTGCACAATCCCGCATCGGCTAGGAAAAAGAAAGGTGAAGTGCTTATATGTAGGTGTGTCACTCCAATTGGTATGAGGCCTTTTAGGGTAAAGTTTAAGAACAAAACCATGCGAGCTTAGGCCCAAAGTGGACAATATCATACCATGTGGTGGAATGGGTTGTTAAACGGGTAAAATTTCCATCCTTATTTGGGGGTATCACATCCACTCTACCCAGGAGCTCAAGAAGACAGACTATTTCCCTATTGAGCTCATCGTTCTTTTTCTTCAAGGCAAGCCAAGCAACCTTCTCTGCCTCTAGCTGACCAGCCAGCTCAGCCCGAGCATTATCTATAGCAGTAACTTCTCTTCGGTCAGTTGACCCCGGGTCTCAGCACCTTTCAGGTCCTTCTCATCTTTTTTTACTCGGGAGGATATCCGACTAATCGTTACGTTACTCTGCTCGATCGTCCTTCGCATAGCTGCAATGTCGAATAAAGTCTGCAAAGCCAATAAAGGCATCTACAGAGTTAAAATAAATAAATTAATGGGTTAATCCCCAAAGGAGTTTAAACAGAATAAGGGGGAAGGCATACCTCAACTGCCCCAAAGGGGATCCGACTAAACATCTCCTCCCTGCTGAGTTTGCCTGGGCTTCTAAGTCCACAGATTCTTGTAGTAGGCCAAAGTAGTAGGCCCATCCTTGTACATAGTGTCATCAAGTGACACCATGGAGCCATCATCTCCAGTGAAGACGGGCCTGAAAGGGATAGTAGTTTCGGCGTTAGGATATACGGCATTGGGATCTCAAGGGGGTTCGTATAAACGACGCTCTTTGATCACTATTCCTTAAGCCCCCATCCGCCTTTGACTTGAACCTCTATCATCACCCCTCACATGCCAACAACTCTATTAGAAAATGGTAGAAGGGGGAATGGTAGAGTGGAGGGAGGTTTGAGGATTGGAGTGCGAAGATTGCAAGGGAGGTACTCGACAGTGACAATGAAGGGGAATGAACTAAGCCACCTTCAATTTATAGTCTAAAGGCCTTCACGTGGGGGAAATCAGGAGTCAAAGGCAATAACGACAATTTAGAAACCGAAGCACCTAATGTGGCTCGCCTGTACACATTCCCCCACATCATCACATCCAATCACAACCTTCGTCGTCGTCATTACACATTAATCTTGCCCTAATCATTATGGCGAAATTAAAGGGGCAAATAAAGAGTTGGGAAATGCGAACGGGCCTGGGCCAGACCAGGTATGACCCAACAAACCCGACTGACTGAGCTGCTCATCATCCGAGAGGTCTATAGTTTAGGCCTAAATTATATTTAATCAAAGATAATGATGACAGGCCTTCATTAGGGCCTGTTTGTTGTAAACGGATCGCCCCATAAAGGAAAAAGGCCCATCAACTTACAACCTAGGGACAACATGTAAGAAATTAGGGCAAATGTAAGTTTCTATAAATATAAGCTAGAGAGAGAGAGAGAAGGGGGGAGAGACAGATTATTTGGAGTGTGAGAAAGTTTTTCCTAATATAAAGTGATTTTTCTTGCAACTTTAAGGGTAATTCGGGTTTTTTTTTTTGGTTGACATCATCAAAAAGTGACTCTCACTAGCATTGACAATTAAAAGAGGGGACGTTGATGTGTTAAAAAAGTAAGGGGTGTAATTGAAATTTTGCAAATATGAATATCACAAACCATATGGGTCTAAATGAATTAAACCCATAAAAGAAACTAGTAATTTTTTAGGATTAAGTGCAAAAAAACCCCTCTACTATTGATATAGTGCATATCAGTCCCTGTGTGGTAAAAAAACCCCTATACTATCAATTTGGTGCAAATAGGTCCCTGTGTGGTATAAAATGACGATAATACCCTCACTTCAATTGAATAAATTAATAATTATAAATACATGCCATGTAAAATGACCCATTTATCCACTTATCAAAAAAAGGAAGAAAAAAAAAAATTAATAGTAATTTTTCTTCATCTGATTAGTTTTTTTCTCTCCTCTCCACCTCATCTTCTCGATTCAAATCACTTAATTCTTCAATTCAAGAAACACCATATTTCAACAACTTTTATAAATCTCATTAATATTTGATTTTTATATACAAATATACATATAAGTATTAAAAACAAAGATATTGTATAAGGTTTTGATTGATTTCAATAGTTTGAGATTGAATTGAAAAACACTAAGAAATCTAGGAATGGAAGACAATACTAGTTGCAAATTCAAGAGGGTCTGTGTATTTTGCAGAAGCAATCCCGGGCATAGAAAAGTCTCAGCGATGTTGCTATTGATATGGGGAATGAACGGGTTGATTTTTGTTCAAATACACCCATTTTTGATCGATTTGTTCTTTTGTTTCAGAGACTTGTTTTTGTTTATGGTCACAAAACATGTAGTTTTAGTTGACTTTGGAAACTGGGTGTGTGTGATGTATTGGACTGGGACCCATCTATTTGATAATTGGATTTTTGGTCTGTGCTCTCAATACATGAACTTTTCAGTGTTTGAAATGTTATTGATTTGATTGTTGGGTCTTGCTTAAGGCTTGCAAGTCTGTGATAAAGCTCATTGGACAGAACTAAAGTGAAGCACACGTTTTGTCTGTCGTTGCTCGTGGCCGAAAAAGATGGATGTTTCTAAATTGGATAGCGTTGGTCACCATCACCGGATGCAGACCCAGAAGATTTCAAGCGTTGAAAGCTAGTCATTTCGCTGACCAGAATATTCAATCCAATCTCTGTCTCTCTCTTTACCACCACCGCCCCAATCTCTCTCTCTTAATACAACCAGTGCAATATATATCTTTTTCTTTCTCCTATGTTATCAAACGAAGTCCCAAATCCACAGCAATTGCAGAGTCTTTCTCTCTTTCCTCTATTATCAAAGCCCTAGTTAATGACAATAAACCCCAATACTCTATCATCCTATATAGATGAGGTGGATGAGGGTGGACATGATTTCTATCTCTTCTGTTAATGTTTTAGGGCAACAATGAAACAAATAATTCCTTAGATTTCAATAGATATCAGATGACAATCGTGATGGTAATATCGGCATCCAAAAAATTGAAGGGATGTTTTTGAAACCGAGGAAACCCAATTAGGATTTCGGAGCTAAGCCTGTAGACATTTATAGGGGTAGAGATTGATCAAGAAAGACGAATTGGTCTCGTCTAAGAACTGGAGGAGAGGTATAATGATGAGTCTCGAGATGGGTTCTTGGAACTCGGCGAAGGGCAGGAATGATTTTGAGATGAAGGTGAAGGTGGTGGAACAGGCGATCTTGCTGATGTTGAGGTCGCGGAGGGAGAGATTGAGGTTTTGTACAACGGGGAGGAGGCTATCGGAGAGGTCGTCGATGACCATGTTATTCTTTCAACTTCAATTGGCAGATTTAAAAATTATTAAATTTAGCATGGCTAAAGGTTGTGACGAATTAATGAAGATGATAGAGAGAGGATGAGAGAAGAAGATGATGGGGGTGGTGGTCTGTAATGGTGGTAGGAGGAGGTGGCTAGTTGGTGGAGAGGAGAGGAAGGAAGAGATAAGAAAATGAAATTATTATGAGGGTATATAAGTAAATTTATTACAAAATATGTTTAGGAGGGATGAGGGGCAAAATAGGAATAAAAAGGATAAAATCTAATTTTCATATTTATTTTTTGTAAAAAAATGGTAAGAGGGTTTATTTGCATTTTTTTAAAATTTGTGGATTAACATCCATATTTTTTAAAAGTAGAGAGTAGTTTTGCACTAAGTTTTGAGGTTTTTTTGTTTTGTTTTTTTTTTTTTTTTTTTCACTTAACCAATTTTTTTACAGGTTGAATAAAGAAACATAGGTAGCCGGAAGTGTCGGATATTTGCATGTCCACCCACGTTTTCTTTGTTTTTAACTGGGAAGAGAGAGAGAGAGAGAGACAGAGAGAGAGAGGTCGAATGGAGAAGCAGAAGAACAACAGTAACACGCTATGTGACACCGCCCATTCGAATTCCGATCCGTCGGCTCTGGTTCGTGTCTATGCCGATGGGATCTACGATCTCTTCCACTTTGGCCACGCTCGCTCCCTCGAGCAAGCCAAGAAATCGTCTGTCAAACTCTCTCTTTTTTCGGTTCTCTGTATACACGTCTATTCTCTCTTCAATTCTCAATTTATTTTTATTTTTAATTTTTTTTATTATTTGGACTCTATGTTTTTCTGTGTTTTGATCCCTATAATTATTAATTTCTCATGGGGTTGTCTTAATTTAGCGTTTTTTGTTTTTTTACATTGAGATATCCTTTTTATTGCGTCAATTTTTCTTTTTCGGGTGTTGTTTACTGCAGTTATGTGTGCCTTTAGTTTATCGTTGGAACTATAGATGTGTGTGTGTGTGTGTTTCCCCTTTCTATTAACTTGATGGTTAGTGGGTTTTGCTACAGATACTAGGGTCTTCTGTGTGATTGCTCTTTGTTGAAATGGTATATGTTAGTTCAAGGTGTATTTAAGTATTTAAGTGTATACACACACACACACACACATATATATATATATATTCAATTTGTAAAAATCTATTTTTTTGGGCTACATTTGATTGTGCACTTGGATTTTAAATATGGCGTTTTTTTTTTTTTTTTTTAAATTTATTTATATAGGTTCCCAAACACCTACTTGTTGGTTGGATGCTGCAGTGATGAAATTACGCACAAGTATAAGGGCAAGACTGTTATGACAGAATCCGAGCGTTACGAATCCCTTCGTCATTGCAAGTTTGTTTTCTTCAATTGTTCGTCTTAATAGTATTTCCAATCATGTAAAAGGAAACATTTTTTTGCTGATCCTGGATTGTACAGTTCTTACATTAATTGCATTTTTGTAAATAAATGTTGTCAATCACAGATCTCACATTATTATAACTATTATTGTTGTTGTTATCATCATCATCACAAACAGGCATAATTAGGAAAACATATACTTACATCAGTCTCGTTGGCAGTGCATTGGTCACTGATATCTGCTTGATGATTTCAACCAACACCCCCCCCCAAAAAAAAAAAAAAATCTGGTTGATGGAATTTTCCTTTCATAGTATTTTTCTTTTCTTTGTAGTTGGGAAAAAAGGCTTTGTTTTTTGTTGTTGGTGTTGTCTTTTTCTTTCTTCATATTGCTATTGGAAATGTGGCAGGGTTAGAGTAATGAACCTGAGTTTTTTCTGGCAGGTGGGTTGATGAAGTTATTCCAGATGCACCATGGGTGATCACGCCGGAATTTCTTGACGAACACAACATTGATTATGTGGCTCACGATTCCCTTCCGTAAGGAGAACTAACATGGAATTATGCATTTGCATCTGAGATTTTGTATTTGTCCTGGGCTATGTAGTATTGGAGCAATGATAAGGACCATTTTAAACTTTGTACTTGATTTTGTTTATAATTTTTTATTTTCTCCCTTAAGAGAAAAAAATGGTGAAGTTTTTTGTTGATGTGAATTGACGAGTACTATATTTTTCTGTATGGTTGTTTAACACGTCTTTTTTCAATACCATGATATATAGTGTAGCATGTGGATAAAAACAAATCATTTATTTATTTTGCAATGAATGTGTACAGTTATGCTGATGCCAGTGGAGCTGGAAAGGATGTATATGAATTTGTAAGTATAGCTGTTTTATACGTTTTTGCCTCATAGATTTACACTTATTTCTCTTGTTCTCATTTTAATTTTTGTTCGCTCTTTTAATCTCTGTACATCTCATTTCGTTAAGTTCTGAAAATTGCATATTAAACATGTCTCTTCTTGTAGGTAAAAGCCATTGGAAAGTTTAAGGAAACCAAACGGACTGATGGAATTTCTACATCAGACATTATAATGAGGATTGTTAAAGATTATAACCAGTATGTGATGCGTAACTTGGATCGTGGATATACAAGAAAAGAACTCGGTGTTAGCTATGTGAAGGCATGATATATGTTCAACTATGCTTGTGTATCTGTTTTAATTTTGATTAAAATATTTCATATTTTTAATCAAATTTTAGACAATATACTCTCTGAGTGAGGGAACTGGCCTTTAGCTCTTGTTCCATGTAAACAGGAAAAGCGACTGAGGGTGAACATGAGACTGAAGAAACTACAGGAGAAAGTGAAGGAACATCAAGAAAAGGTAGGAGAAAAGGTACGTTTATATGTATAACAAGGACAGTGTTATAATATGTACTAGAGTTAGTACTTTGTTGACTTTATAGTGTATAATATGTTTGGACTTCAAAGTAGACAAGACTTTGTGGAAAGTCGGAAGTTTTCTATGTTAATGACGAGTCTTAGATAATTTTTTTTAACAATATTAACATTTCTCTCTCTCTCTCTCTCTCTCTCTCTCTCTCTATATATATATATATATATATATATATATATATATATATATATCACTTTTAAGGATTTGATAAAGAATGTGATTAAGCTTTGGAAGTTTAATTGTTCTTGGTAAAACTGGAATGAGTTTTATGTTGGAAACAGGATGTTATTGTGTTTTAATTTTCAAGTCTTTAAATAAATCTTTGTCTAACTTCCTGAGATCACATGAAATAAATTGTTTTTGTTGTTCAGCTCATTGAATATCATTTCTTATGTCATACCATGGGTCTTCATGTCTTTTTGCCTATAGTTTTGGTCAACAGTACGAATTACTCCTTATTGCTGGAGCCATCAGCTTCATTGTTCATGACCAAACCATTCTAGCTGTCTTTTTTTATTGTTAATTTTTTTTTTTTTAATTTATATGTTTTTAGTTAATATGCTTCTTGCATCTCTCAAAATGAATTCAACTCCGTTCTATACTTTTCTGTCCCTTTCTTGATCCTTCAATTATTCTAGTCAAACATTATTAATAAAACAAAAATAGCACCAATATTACCATTTTGAGGTTTTTCTATTTATGATGCGCCTTCTTTTATCTTTACTGGTGGTACTATAATACCCTTTTACCAAGATCACTTAGTTTAGATTAAGATATAGAAGATAATAAGAGATACTTGAGGTTTTGTCAGCATTTAGTCTACCCAACACCCTGGATTAACTCACGCTCGGTAATTGTTTTTCTAGGACACCCTTTGTAAACTTAATTCAGAGAAGATTATTTCGTTTCTAGCCATTGCTTAATTTTTTTTTTATTATTATTATTATTTTTTTCTGAGAGATTTATGTAACAAATGTCACCTTGCTTATGCAAGAGGTGCTGGGAAAAGGGGCCTCAAGATTTTTTCTATTCTTATTTATTCTTATTTATTTTTTTTGGGGAACGGGGAGAACTACTATTACCCCAAAATTCAAAGGATGTGTGTTGAAGAAGGTAGCTTTGTTGAGGTTAGTTTTAGGTTTCTTGGCTTATTATGAAACCAGAAACATATTCCAAAATAAAGTTAGTATGTGGATGGTGTTAGTTTCTAGGAATTTCCTTCCTACCTACACTGCTCAAATAATTTTTATAGCCATGTGTGAGGTATAGAGAAATTTCGCATGGGCCTTTGGAGAAACCTCTCATATTAAAATTTCCTTTTTCTATTTTTGGACTGTTTCTTGTGGAGGTTTGAATGGCATTATTGATTGTGTCGTGGTTGAAGCTTTTGGTAGATGGACAATCAATTGAACATATGGGCCTTTACCTAGAATATAATTAGTGTTACGACAAATGCCATGAACCAAGAACAAATCAAGAGTCACGACAGAAAAGTAAACACGACACACACAAAGAACACAAAGATTTATGTGGTTTGGCGTAAGGATTTTACCATGCAATAATCCGGAGGTTACAAGTTTCAGTCCCCAAACCTTAGCGCTCTCTCTTTCTTGCGATTTTCAATGTTCTCCTGTGACACACCCCAAACCCTAAACACCCTTATATACGGGCTCCAAGAGAATTCTATAATTGGGTCCACGGCCTGTAAGAGAAAAAACGGGTCAAAATTTTTTCGGATCAAAGGCGGGTCACATTGCGACTCGGACTGAAACAAAATTTTGGCCATGACATCACAATTAGTGTACATGCTGCCATTTTAGAATGCAAAACGGCCTTTATCTAGAGGTTTATCAATTATCTAGACCTGCTAGCATAAACAAGGTGATGTGAGCCTTCCTTCGAACCCGTCAATCACGTATACAATGGTTCTATTGCAAATCTTTGATTGATAATTAAGGCTTTCTCTAAAATACAAATTATCTATAGTGGCTTAGTGCATGCCAATAGACTTTTTTTTTTTTCCTCCTAAGCAAGATGATGTATATAGATAAAATCAATGAAGTACATGGCCAATCAGAGGCCGCATACGTCCCCTGTACAAAGAAATCAACAGAGAAAATCTCCACTTCCAATAACAAGGGAAGAAGAGATGACTAAAAGGGAACATAATGAGAAACATTGAAAAAAGGAACATCAGCCAAAGTGAACCACATAAGATCCATCACCTCCCACCAAGATAGTTTAGCAACTTCATTAGCTTATTTGATCCCTTGGTCATGAAATCTTGAATTTCTCTCCATCCATATACTCCATAAAACTGTGGAAATAATTTCCGTATACAATCCGTGTATTGTGGACTTAGAATTCAGATTTACAACAACCCAACATGCCAGCAGTAAATTGAGAAATGAAGGCATGTTCCAAGACAAAAGAAGAGAAAACCTGTCCCAAACCTGTCTTAGAAATGGACGCTGGATGAATAGATGATCAGTTGAATCATTAGAAGCATCAAGGCATATATGACTATAAACAGTGATGGTGCCTCTCTTTCTCAGATAAAAAAGAGAGAGATTTATCCTGAAAGGAGAGATAGCAGTATACTGAAACCCTAGGTCTACAACCTTTCCAACACAGAGTAGTGGTCACCTTAGGCTTATGAGTTCTCCAAGAGTTCCAAGCCCTTTTAAAAGTAAAACCATCCTTATCCCACTCCAATTTATCATGACCAGAATAAATAGGAATAGAAAGGATTAAGTTGTTAAACTGCTGCAAAATTGAGGAAGAAGGTGTATGCATCTGCCACCTTCCATTTCTAATCAATGAACTGACATATGCATTCTTTGGAAGATCCAAAACCTTATAGATTGTATGAGTATAAACCTAAATCAAGGTTTTACCATTGCACCATGGATCCAACAATAGTTTCACAGTAGAACCAACACCCAATTTATAAGATATATTCCCTGCTAAGATATGTCTAGTTTCCAAAATAGACTTCCAAATCCTTGAATGAGAGGCAACCGAGACACAAGACCAAAAAAAATCTGGATATTTACTCTTGAACCAAGCAATCCACAAGCAATCTTTAGATCTAACAAAATCCCAAGCCAACTTTGATATAGAGACAGCATTGATATCAGATATTTTTTTGAGTCCTAAACCTCCCTCAGATTTAGGGGTAGTCACAACATCCCATCTGAGGTTGTAAGTCTTTCTGTTTCCATCTGAAGAACCCCAAAGAAAGTCCCTCATCTTCTTCTCAATTGCAATAAATAATAGAGGAAGAAAGATTGAATACAGAACACAAATAGTAGACAAAGGAGTATAGAACAGTCCTAATTAATTCAAGTTTGCCTGCCAAGGACAAATTCAAACCATTCAAAGTACACAGTCTAGAGTTAACTTTGTCCATCAAAGAAGAACATTGAGTTCTAAGAGGGAGTCCTAAGTTAGTAATAGGAAAATTTCCTTGAGGACAACCAAACATAGCTTTAATTCTCCTTTTATTTCTAACAGTGTTTAAAAAGAATATCTGATTCTTTTCCTTTTTTTTTTTTTTTCCTTTGACAAGTAAAGTAAATTTCATTAAAGGCGATCAAGAGGGGAGCACTCCCAAGAACAAAAGACGCCCACAGCGACACTATAATTTCAAACTATCCACAAAATCCAAAAGAATATCCATAGGTGTACAATTCCGCCCATTTACCCAAAAAAAGAGAGAAGAAAGTATGTTAAATTTGAGAGACCAAATAGGGGAATCCTCGCCCTCAAAGTATCTCCTATTCCTCTCACTCCACAAACCCCACCATAGACAAAGGGGAGTGGCCCTCCAAATATCTCTGACTCAGTTCTCCACTGCACACCCTTTCCAAGCCAACATATCAACCGTGGATCCTGAAACAACCCATTGCACACCAAAAGCAACTAAGAACATAGACCACACATCCCTTGCCACAGGGTAGTGCAACAAAAGATGGTTCACCACGATTTGACTTCTCCTTCTTAGGTTGTCTATAGTGAGGATGCTACCAAGAACAACAAACCAAGTGAAGAAAGCGACCTTTAAAGGGGCTTTAGTCCTCCAAATAGCTTTCCAAGAGAAAGTGGGACCTGGAGACTCCATAAGGCTTTAGAAGAAGGACCTGACCTCAAAGACCCCACTCGAATTGCCCACCCACACCATTTTGTCCATACCCACACCCTCCACCACCAGGCTATAGATCAGACCAAGGAAGTCTATAACCTCCTAAAGTTCCCAATCATGGAACTCTCTATGAAACTGCACATCCCAAGTCACCCTGCCATCATCAAGTCGATAATGGTCAACAACCAGAGCATGCTTGTTCATAGAAATTCTGAATAGTCGGGGAAACATACAACTTACAAGCCAGAGCAAAGTCCCAACACCAATGGTCCTCCCAAAAGCTGAGATGCCTCCCACTTCAGACTCTAAATCGGATACGTTTGGAGAACTCATCCCATCCTTTCCGGATGCATTTCGCCAAGAGCCCATACCCGTTGGCAAGCTCACCTCCCTAGACTACCACCCTCCATTTCCTCCCGTAATGGCATGCAATGACACGCCTCCAGAGCTTAGTTCTTTCACCCCCAAATCTCTAGAGCCATTTACCCAACAATGCTTTATTAAACTGCTCTAGCCTTCGGATCCCCAAACCTCCCTTTTTAATAGTGGTGCAGACTCTCTCCCAGTTGACCAAGTGGTATTTGAATTCATCTCCTATACCTGCCCATAAGAAATTCTGCTGAATCTGTTCGAGTCTTTGAACCACTGTCATAGGCATCGGGAAGAGAGACATAAAATAAGTAGGAAGATTCGAAAGGGTGCTCTTCATGAGGGTAATCTTTCACCCTTTCGATAAGTATCGTTTCTTCTAACTTGTGAGCCTCCTCTGAAATCCCTCTACAACTGGATCCCAAAC